GAATGGAGGAGAAGTCAAAGTGGAGGTCAGGAATGCAAGTGTAGCAAGCATGGAGGAAGGCAATAATGCCGCAGACCTGAGGGTCCTGTTGCACAAAGACCTGAGCAACCTGAAATCCACCGAGCACGCAGTTCCAGTGAAAGCAAACCCACTCCGCAAAGCGCCTCGCAGTCGGGGCGTGTGAGGCATCAAGTCCATCAAGCAAAAGAGCATTGACTGTGTTGCCCTCCTTAGTGAGAGTCAATGCAATCCAATGATGCGCATGGACAAAGATGAGCCCAAGAGTGGAAACCGAGGCAAGGAAATCAAGCAGCCAGGAAGGCACACAGCGAGGAGTCCAGGAACAGAACAACGAAGCCCACCAAGGATCCAGGAATCCAATGTTGGGACGTGCAACGCCAAGGACACTGACCAATGCTTGGTGGATCTGCCAGTCAGCTAGCCCAACTGCATGTTCAATCCCAGCCCCAGTAAAGGCCGATCGCAGATCCAAGACAAAGCTGTGCCAAATCCGTTCAGTAGAGCGGATGCTGAGCCCAGTGCCAAGACAAACGCCAGAAGGCATCTGGCTGAGCCCGGAGCGGTGGAGTGCCTCAAAAAGGAAGGCACCAGGCGCAAGAGTGACCACGGAGATCCGACCTGGTTGGATGATGGTGACATCAACCTGAGCGTCAGGTTTGGGCCGCACTTGCACCTTAGTGGCAACAGCAACACGGTAACAGTGGGTCTCGGCCCCATGAAGGAGAGCGTGAGGCGGGAGTTCACGATCCCCGTCAAACAGCTTGGCTCGTGTGCCCCAGTCGAGCTCGGGGCGGATTGCCTCAAGTATCTGAGAAGCCTGGGTCGCCGAAGTAGTGGTGAAGCACAGCTGAGAGCTACACTCCTTGGCACCTGCATGTCAGGAGTGATCCACAGATCATGTCTCCCTTGGATCAAACACTCCTTGAAGGCCTCAACCGCACGGATGGGAAGACCAGGGCAAGCATGTCCGCTGTCAAGCTGGAACCAACGCATAATGTGGGAAGCAATCCATACAACCTGAAGCAGTGCCGCAATTTGGCCAACCAGGCAGAGGGCCCCTCGACAGTTCATGTCATACGCAAAGGAGACAGGGACAGAGTTGAGCAAACCAGCTTCGGCCGGGTGAAGGCTAAAGTTGCGACACCCACATGGGCATGGGGTCAGCGCAACACCCCATGAGTGAAGAGCCGTGGGTGCCTGACCTTCAACATCCAGGAAGCGCGGACCATTCCCGCACAGTGGGTTGGAGTAGTAGTCGGCTTCAGTGGTCGTCCTCCTGATCAATTGGCCAGACAGGCCACCGCGGAATCACCTGAGACCTTCCGAAATCCATCCGAAAGGGGAGGCAGCAGAGTGCAGAACCAACGGTGGCGCCTGCTGGCCCATTGATCACCCAGTTCAAGCACAACAGTCTGGACAACAAAACCGGCAAGATCAGCAAAGCGATGGATAGTTTCCAGTACGGTCGGATGCTGCTGAACAGAGGCCACACAAGCCCCGCGGACTGGCAAAGCCATGCGGCACGGAGGATGTGGTGGAGTGTGTCGCTGCGGGAATCCAGTGATCCAAGACGGTCGCCTTGCCGGGAGTAAGGCTGACATGGAAAACCAGCCGTCATCAAAGCTGGGTGTTGAACCTCAACTGCGTGCAGATCACCAACAATGCTGTCGTGACTGATGTTCCCACAATGATCGTGGCTGTTGCGTTGGCCTTCAAGGTGCGACATGCCAGAGGGCTGATGTCAACCAGAGCAACTGTGGTAAATCCGCAAAAAGTGAAACCCAAACTGAAGCCACCCATCCCTGCACACACTTCCTTAATCCTGAGTGATTCTGCAAAGCTTCCAGCAGGTCCTGGCAGGACTCTGGATCGGGGTGAGATCTGTAGGGAACAAACCGTGTTGATGGATCCGCCAACCTCCAAATTGAAAAGGCTCCACTTCCCTGCCGTCAGTGTCAGACCACGGATGATGAAATCCTTCTTCTCCCCCTTTGTTAGCGGCCAGTCCCACGCCCACCCAAGGCAAAAGTTGCCCTCGTGCTTCTGCAGCTTTTCGACCGTGACCGTGGCCGCTTCGGCCGCGCTCCAGAAACTGCGCGATGCGGTTCTGATGTGGCAGTCGGCCTCCTCGGCCTCGCTGCGCGTTCGCCACGGCGGCGGGATTGGCATCTGCTTGCCTTCTTGCACCTCCTCGCACAACGTTCCGCCGCGCACAAGTTCCCGGATATTTAAAAATGCAATGTTTGGTTTTCCAGAAAAACAAATTCTTTGTTATTTGTTCTTAAGTTTGTAGAGGCCTCCAAAAAAACATGGTTTTCCCTGGCCAGTTCCTGGATGTTCAACAAGTTTGAAAAATAGTAAGCAAAACAAGAAACATTTATTTATTACAATTTCTTAAATTTCTGGAGGCCTCCATTTTTTTTTTTAATAGTATCCCGGGTTCCCCCTGGGCCAGTTCCAGGAAAATTGAACAAGTTGA